CAAATGAATGTAATAGTTACCAAACAAGCTAGGGCTAAAGAACGCACTTAGTTCAAACAAATGAAATCCATTCAAATGCCTTGAGATTGATGACAACAACTATGGTTAAGGGTGATGACTCGATTTGTCTTGATCTTTATGTTTTATCATCAAAGCTTGGACAAGAATTGGTAATGACGGGCACACGTCTAATTTCTGAATATTTTGGTATGTAGTACCTCAAAAACAGTAAAATAATTTCAAAACAGGGGTTTTCTTGGTTTTGAAACAAAGGTCATGTTGTTACACAGAAGGCCTTAGTTGTCCGACCATCCAATCTTCACAAGTATGTTAAACACTAGACTGAACTTCCCTAGCCAAAGGGCCTGAATAAATCTCACAACAACATGACCTAGCATAAACAAACTCTTGAAGTCATCCAAATAACAAATACCAAAAGCAACCATGCAAGCATGTGACCTTATTCTGTCATGCTTACGGATAAAGCCACTACTAAAAGTTGAGGGGATGCTGATTTTTACCAGATTTAATTGGTATTTATTTAGCCACAGTTACAGATTTTTTGGCTACTTTTACAACAATTAAGGGTGATTAAAGCCAAACCCAAACGATCTACCATCACTCACAATACACATAATAACCTTTGTTAACAACATATTACCATCATCAATAAAATAGAAGAGACGAAATTGATCTTGTGCATATATGAAATAATACCTTTCTGCGAAAATGCTGATATTCATCCCCATTTATGTGGACATAAAGGGTCCTAGCAAAACGAACAATGGCGATCCTCCCTTTGTAACTTATATCTTTGAGACCAGAATTGGATTGAACTCCTTCACTCTTTGTTTGTTCCTTCAAACTTGGATCCCCTTTCTTCCATATTTCTTTAAAAACACCATCCAAGTTCTTGGCCGAATTACAAAAAAATTTCATCTTCAACAACTCCTTGTTTAGTTTCCCAACAATCTGTTGACTAAACATCATCGTCTTAAAACAATGAACAAAAGAAATGCACTCTCTGACCGTCCAGAAGTAGGGAGGATAAATTTGATACCATACAGGGACTTTCTTCCTGCACAAGAAGGTCATACTTGTACACGTGAATAACTACGTGCACATTAAAATCTTATAATAGAAGACACAAAAAAATAAGTAAACAAATATAAAAAATCCACATCAATTTTTCAAGCACAAAAAATTCACAGTACATACAGATTTCCAACACCAATGAAACTGAAAAACCTTTTCAGTTCCAAAGGTAAGGGAAAGTCGTCCAAAGTAGCTCCAGGAAAGGGTTGTAGGATGACATCTTTCATCAGCCTAACAAGATGACGCAAATCATCTTTTGGACTACTATCAACATACATTGATGGCAAAATTTTCCCTCTTCCTTCGTCGGTAACATAGACATTTGATGCCAACTGCCCACAACATTCACCCCTTGAGTAGAGAAAGAGAAGTCCTTGAGCAATGTCCCTGATCAAATATAGCGGGGGAAAGAAGCGTTAAAAAAAAAGAATAAGCAAAACATTCAAAGACAAGTGAATACGTTTTTCTATTAGATNAAGAAAAGCAATTCGAAGACGGAAGATATAATTACCTAAATATTGATCGATGCAAACACTCAATGTGTTTCCACCAAGTCTCGTAAGTTTTTCGAACATCTTGGGACCAAAGTGACTGCGCCTCCAAGCTAAAGAAATTCTCCAAGACATGGGCAGGTTCGGTTAGGATGAAAGGATTGCTAGTGGGGGGAATGCTAGCCAGGTGAATGACGGACAAAAGTGTGTCACTACAACAACATAACTCCCTCAGTTCTGGGAATCTAGTGAGCCGAGAACGCTCTGCACGTACATAAGTTACTGGTAGATTGAATCCACAACTTTCCATACTACCCCTTAGCCCTCCAAGAGGAGTAGAGTAGCTCGTGCATTTGAATATAATATCAAACTGCAAGAGTTCAAAATGAGACAGGTTGTTTCCATATGACCAATAATTTCAAGGAGAATTGCACAACCAATTTAGTAAGCAATTCACCTTACATTATTGTATTCCGAAAGCAAAAAAAACGTACGTTTGGCCCTATAAGAAACTAAAAATATATCAAAATCACAATTCAGGGTGAAACACTACACTTAAGGGAGCATATAAGAGATATAAGTATTCCAAATGCCGAAAAATATTGTCCCTTTGGCCCTATAAGAAACTAGAAATTTAGCAAAATCACAACTCGGGGTGAAACACTACACTTAAGGTATAGATCTTAGAATATACTGCATGTATAGAGGCTACTTAAAAGTAAAAGTTTCTTATTCAAGTCACAGTAATTTTGTTGAAAAGTATGAAATTAATGAAACTTTCACATATTTTTGCAGACATGAGGGAAAATGTTCCAAGCAATAAGTTAAAAAAAACATCAAGAAGGATCTAATTCATTACTACACAGATATTGTACTAAAAATAAAGAAACATATGCTAAGATTTAGAATTTCCAGTGCTAAACACGATTCAGTGAGCTGCCATTTACATAGGAGGCACAAATAGTATCAATATTACTACTCAAGACCTTTTCAAGATCAAAGTAAAGCCCCAACATTCACAATTCTTTTATGAGCTCATGAGCTAGGTACTTCAGCCATCCAAACATCATAAATCACGTAATCTTGTACAATAAAAATACATATAGGCATGAAAAGAATTTGACAATTATTAGAGGACGGTTCACAACGATTCTACAATGTGAAAGCACCAACTGAAAGTCTAAATCAAAAATCACACAATCATATGTAAGAAATCACTCTATTATATTTCCAGTCACACTCATCTTGTACTTGATACCTTCACTACCAAGATCAAAACGATCTTTTACGTATAATCACCAAACTTTGATATCCTGTGATACAATGTCAAAGCATTGCATTTCAATGACTATTATCCAAGTTTCCAACCTATCAACATGAATGAAAAGAGCTACTTCCCCAGCAATGTTTAAAAGAAACCTAAAATGCTTTAATAGACCAAAAAAATAAACCTCAACACAGCGTGTGGACAGCTCATTTGATCTATACACGCTTTAAAAGTAGTCCATTCTAATTAAAACGATATGAGAAAAGTCTCATGCATGCATTGCAAGTGTGTGAGTTTCATGACACCGTAATACACTAGCCAATATAAGACAAGAGTACAGAACATAATAACGATAAACAAAAGGATTTTAGGACCAAGAATTAAAACCTCTTCGTGCTGTGCAGAAACTTCAGCCCTGATGTCTTCAGTTTGATCACTATAAGTACTGTAGAAATAAAAAAACAAAGATCAGCAAGTAGCCATGAAATTTAGATAAATATGCATAAAGGTTTAAACATCACCAGCTTCAATGTGCTAATGAAACTATGTTACACTCTCAAACCCAAGTTTTAATGTCTTCACCCACCAACAAAGAAAATGTCCGAAACTTGACAAAACAGAGAAGTAAAGAGACTGTATGAAAGATAAAGGTGCAATTGGGTCTTGAATTTTTGCTTCCAATTTTCCTTGCTAGCATGCTTGACTGCAGCTTCAAAGAAATTAATGGCACTACAAAAATTTTTTTGTGCAATGATATACTCCCTTTGCAACAAAAAAGGCGAGAAAGAGGGCATTTATTATCACAAAATGACAACGAAATAGCTCATCTAAAATTAATAATTCATTAACAAAGATGTCATTACCCAAAAATGTCAGCCACTTCTGAATACTTGAAGAAGGTCCGGTATTTTTTATGAATCTCAAAAGCTAGGGTAGCCTCCATAAGTGCAACTGGTGTGAAGCATGGAAGGGACAAGACAAAAAAGGCAAATACAACTTAGGTACTGAGAAGTGAAGATAAATATTCCAAACTTAGGGTTAAATTCAAAGGTGCAATTGCTTGGGAATATGTAAAGAAAAGGAGATCAAACCCGACGAAAGCCAGCAATAGTTCTACTCAGTCTTTGCATGCACCACAACTCTAGACTTGGTAACTATTATACTAAGAAATAACAACTAATTTACCTTCTCCCTCTCCTTTATTAATGTAAACCATCGCACACAACTCATAGAGAAGACACTGTTCTTCCTCTTTTTCTCTTGAATCGCCAGTACATTGCTCCAAGCAAGCCTTGATATACGCCAGTGCTTTATCATATTCTTGCTTCCCAATCTGGCCAAGAACATGTTTTTCAATATTGGCAAGCCCGCTCATTCTACTCGTTGTGTCTCCTTTGATTTTGATAACCTGAGTAACATAGAATAGCACATTTAGCTCTTGACAAGCAATAAAATGAGGAATGACAAGAACACATATGAATGAACTCAAAACCGAAAAACCAACGCATATAAGTGTGAAAGAACAAAGAATGCTCTCAGTTTATGAATCAAAAGTGACAAGAGCCAAACACCTAAGACAAAAGTACCAAATGACAACTACCTAGCACATCATTGCTTGAACAAAATAATGTTTACAGCTCAATTCTACATACCCCAACAGTCAACAACAACTGAACAACATTCATCTTAAGAACCAGTAGAACAACAGTAGCAGTACTACTGTCACGCATGTATACATGTGAAGCCATGCACACCACCTACACCATCTGTGATACAACCAAAGAATGTCCCTATTTTCACACATAAAGCCCTTAACCACCCACATGAATTCCAAAACATAGACAACCAATAAAATCCAATAGCCTTCAGCAATTGAAGCTCAAGAACATAGCAACATGCAAAAAGCAAAGCAAAACATGCATAAAGTTCTTCAAGTCTGCTTTTTTTTTTTTTACGTTTTTCATGACTTGATACCCAGTTTTTAGGAATCATAACTACAAGATAGTTTTTAAAAAATTATGAGAAATTAGAAATAATTAAAAAATACATATGGCTTTCAATAAAATAAATACATATGAAGATAATAAAATAATAAATTCAAATTAGGGAGGGATGAAGACCTTTCAAATTAGTTTTATTTCAGTTCAATTTAATTAAGTATTTTTTTAATTAAAATGAAAAATATTTTTGTTTTTGATTTGTAATAAACACTTTCCTTTTTATTTCATAACAAAATAAAACTCCAAACTCACAAAGGAATACAGCTAACAAAAATTGAAAGAAATTCAGACATCACCAACAATAACATTAAAATTTAAAGAATTCACCAATAAATCATTCACCGCTCATCATTCATCACCAAACAAAGAATGAGAGAAGAAATGGAACAAGTCGAAAAGAAAATAAAGCATTCAACATTAATTTATTCCAAACAAGAAATATAAATCAAGGAATTGAAGAAAAATAGAAATTGCATCTAAAGAGAGGAATGCTGCCGGCTAACGAGCCCCAATGATGTACCTCCCTCTGTCTGGTCGTTTAAGAGCAGAGCCCGATAGAAAACCAAGAGGGCCCTCTGCACGACAAAAATTTTTGGCCTCATGTCATCTTACAAAAATTAATTTTTGTAAGATTCCCAAACCTGGAATTTGAGACAAATCAAGATTTGATATCCAAATGCAAGTTCGCAAACATGCTACTCCATATTAAAGAATCCTGTACATCTAATAAATAAAACATGTAATTAAAATGAAACAAACCATCAAAACTAATCCTTTAACACCCGCTTACCCACACCAAAATGATTTTAGATAGAGAAGATTATGAACCCTTGTCCTCTTCCCTATACTCTGGACCTCCTTACTTTACTTCTCCAAAGAAGTTCTTTTTTCACTCAGCTGTTTTAACTATTCTAGTTCATGAGACTTACAAAGACTCAAGGGTATGAAAAAAAATTAGGAAACTAGGTGAGATTAATTGAACAAACACTACTCTCTCCCTCAACATCTATAGTTTTATCATTCTTATCTAAACTTTCAATGATGTTATCATCAAACAAATCTCCTAAAATGACTTCATCATCAAATGTCACATTTACAGCTTGTTTTTGTTTGCTCTCATGTGATTCTTTTAGAACAAATTTATCACATGACCCTTATGAGATTGTGTAAGTTCAAGTCTACTTTCCCTTCTGCATTTTTAATGACTTGATACCCATTTTTTTGGAACCATAACTACAAGAAAGTTTAATAAAAATTATGAGAAACAAGTTATAAATAAATATGAACAAAATAAAATAATAAATACTTTAAATAGAGAGGTATGAGGGCCCTTTAAATTAGATTTATTTCAGTTGTGTTTATTTAGTATTTTTTAATTAAAATGAAAATAATATTGTTAATTATTAGTACTAAACACCTTTCTTTTTATTTGATAAGAAATTAAATCTCCAAGCTCATAAAGGAATACAACATCCAAATATTGAAAGTAGAAAGCAGACATCACCGAACAACTAAGAATTAAAATTTAAAATCAATTTATAAAATCATTCCCCACTCATCATTCATCATAAAAAAAAGAATTAAATAAGAAATCGTATCACTTCTAATCAATCAATATAAAGTCAATAAGTTGATTCTTAAATAGATTAGTAAACATTAAATCATTTCATCATATTAGGAGAAGGTATAAGGTACATCTGGATGTACTTAGAGATAGGTACATCCGGGTAGTACTCATTTTGAAGTTAAGTAGTACTCATTCTCGCACAAACATAATAATTCATTTGAAATATCGTGGTACTC